GGGTGGAAGTTCGATCGACGCGTCTGTACCCGCTTTTTTTTTTTTGTTTTCATTATTTTTTTATACGACAGCATGTTATTATTATTATTAATATCAAACGTGAAAAAATATTATTTATATTGTTTTTATACATATTTAATAAAAAAAAAACATGTCGCGGATTTTTCGTACGTGAAATGGCGTAAAATTAAAAAAAAAAAATTTATTACTTTGTTTCGAAACATGCTTAAAAAAAAAACCGTTAAATTTTTTTTTTCTTCGTTAAAGCGTATTATTATTATTATTATTTCGCTTTCGATTACGACGTGTTTTTTTGCGATTGTCGGGGGTTTTTTTTAAAATTTATTCCAGGTTTTTTCCTTTTTCTTCCCGATTTCTTAGGGAATAAAATGTTTTTTTTTTTTAACTTAAATCAAATTTTTGTGAATGCATAGAGAATAAAAAAGTCTTTCCGAGTCCTTTTTATTTAACGGGAACGAGTTTGTTGTGCGGGATTTCGGTGATAACATTTGGGAAGCGTCCAGGAAGTAAGAAGAGCAGAAAAACAAAAAAAACTTTTATTACTTTTTTTTTATCGTGTTTTCGTAATGAAAAGAAAAAGTACTTTTCATCCAAATGCTTAAACGGCAGCATCACTACACGGTCGTTAATATTATTATTATTATTACTTATTTACTTAATGCCAATGACGAAAACTTTCCCGATGTAATTTTAAAAAAAAAAAAAAAAAAATTAGAAATTTTCCACGTAAAAAAAAAAAAAAATGACTAAAGATACAAAAGATTACGTAAAACTTTTTTTTAACATAATTTTCAAGAAAAAGATGGAAAAAAGGAAAAAAAATCTCAGGAACGACAGGAAAATGAGAAAAAAGAGAAGAAAAAGAAAAAAAATTTAAATTTTCTTCTTTTTTTTTACGAGATTAAAAAACAAGAAAAAAAAAAAATTTTTTTAACCTTTTAATACCTTCTTTTTGTCCTTCTATTTTATCATTCGACCTCCCCCCTTCGCCTACCTCCCTCCCCTTTCCCCTTCTCCCTCCCACGCACACTTTCTCCCCATCACTTTAAATCTTTCCTTTTTTTCTTTTTCGAACCTTTTTTCTTCTTCTTCTTGTATACTTTTCACCTTCGCGTTAAAAAAAATGTTCGAAAAAGAGTTTCTTATTTCATATTTAACTATTTTTTTTAAAAAAAAGAGGAAAATTTGTCAACAGCATTTCTGTCGGATGATTTATTACTGAACGTTCGTAAAGTAATAAAAAAAAAAAAAACAAGGAAAGTTCTTAAATATGGTTTAATCAAAATATTTTTATATTAACATCATTAATATTATATCGCGAATGAGTGATCGATCGAGCGATTGATTGATTGATTATCTGTTATCTTATTAAAATAATTAATGATGATAATGATAATACTAATAAGGAAATTTCATACGAACTTAACAAAGAAGAAAAAAGAAAGAGAAAATTATTATCATCGTTTTAATAATTTTTTTTTTTTTTTTTTTTTTTTTTTTTTTTTTTTGGGGGAGGAATGAGGAAGGAAGGAAGGAAAAGAAAATAATAAACATTAAATATAGGCGCCAAACTCTCCTGGTTTTGTTCCAATTTTTATTAATTTTACTCATACCTAAAAAACTACCTCCCCAAGAAAAACAAAAAAAATTTTCTTGCTTTTTTTTTTTTGTTCTCAAGACGTGAAATTTTCCTTTTTTGATTTTTTATTTTATTACACTTTTTTAAAATTTATTTAATAAAAAATAATATTTTCAACCCTTTTTTAATTATTATTATTATTAAAATAAAGAAAATGGCGGAAGGATGGGGAGGGGGAAGGGAGAGAGTGTAAAAATAAGCGTATGGAAAGCGTAAAAAAAGTTATGAGTTTTTAAACGGGAAAACGATTTAAAATCAAAAAAAAAAAAGGTGATGAGAAGAGAAGGGGGAGGTATAGAAAGAGAGGGGGAGGGGGAAAAAGAGTGTAGAAAAGAATAAATAAAATTAGTTATTATTATTATTATTATTATTATTAAAAACCTTTCTTCTGTTTACTTTTTTTTTTACAAAAAGCAATAATAAACAACAGGAGTTTATTTATTTTATTTTTTTATTTTTTTTCAGGTTAGCTTAAACAGCAAAATTTAATTTTTTGGGGAGATGTGCAACGAAAGAGGGAGGAAAAGAAAAAAGTAGGAGCGGAGGGAAAGGAAAAGAAGGATAATGCAGGTAATAAAATAAAAATTTTCTTTTTTTTTCTTTTTTGTGTTTCCAACGTAAAATGTCGATTTAAAAAATTGCAAAAAATTTTCTGCCGGAGGAAATTTTTTTCGGAGGGTAGAAGAGGGGGGTTAAGGTGATGTGGGAGGTAAAGAAAAAAAAATTTTCATCATTAAATTTTCTTTAAACGACAAAAAAAAATAAAAAAAATTGTGTCCGATTTTTTTCCTAATGTCTGATGAGGAAAAGCGCAAAATATATTTTTTTTAAAAAAAAAAGAAAATTATCCCGGAGGATAAAGAAAAATCTAGAAAAATTCTTATATAGAATTCGAAACTTTAAAAAGTTTTTTTTTATTATTATTATCCTTTTCCTTTTTTCCTTTGTTTTCTTTTCCTTTTTTTTCTTTATTAAATATTCGCTCGAAGTAAAAATCACAATTTTTTTCAAAAATTTTTTTCTTCCATTACACTCTCTTTCTCTCTCTCTCTCTCTCTCTTTTTATCTTTCTCTACTTAATTAAACTTCTCTCTATTTTTTCTTTTGAAAAGGTATTAATTATTTCTTATTATTATTATTATTATTATTATTATTATTAACAAATGTCAAACGCAAGTTTAGAGAAAGATTTGAGTAGGAAAATACAAAAGGAAAGAAGGGAGGGAGAGAGAAGAAAATTGTTAAAATGCTGTCGGTGCAATTTTATTTTATTTTTTTTGGAAAATTGATGAAAACGACAAGTTAGTGCCACGAACGATGATGACGTAAAGTGAAAACGTTTACGTAATTTTGTTTTATTTAAACAACTTCAAACATTCAAACGGAAGTTGATTATTAATAGCCAAAACAAACCCAAAAAAAAAAGAGAGAAAATTCTGTTGTGTTCCCGTTGTTGGAAAATGTTCTCCCGAAAAAATTTTTATAATTAAATCTTTTGTTTCGAATTTTTTTTTTTTCTCGTTTGTTTGTTAGTTTGTTTGTTTGATGACGTAACATCAGCAAATTTGAAACTACGTGACGCGAAAAAAAAGAAAAAATAGCTCTTCCGGTTTGTTTGTTTTTTTGCTGATTTTTAAAAAAAATTTTCCGTTGGTTTTTTTTAATCAATTTTATAAAGTTTTTTTTAAAAAAATTAACTGAAGTGCCTTTATGAGTTTTTCTTTTAAAGAAAAAAAAGAGAGAGAGAGAGAGAGAGAAAGAAAGAAAAGATCGTTATTAAAATTTACCTAAGTCAAAAAAAAAAAAAATTTTTTTTTTACATAATCAATAAATCGATTTAATTTAATTTAAATTAAAAAAAAAAAGGCTGGTATTAAATTGTTATTTGTTAAAATAATCAAATGCGATGTGAATAATATGAGAAAAGGTTAAAACAAAAAAAAAAAGCAGAAGAAACAATCAAACGACGACAGCACAAAATATTCTAAAACCAATTGACAAACGAACAAAATTAAATTTTTTTTTTTTTTTTAAAATTCAAATCACATAAATTTTTTTTTCTCCATATAATTAAATTAAATACGTTACGTATAAGATAAACCCTTCTTTTTTTCCAGTTTGTCGTCTGCTAATCGACACGCCGCATAATGTGTCTCTTACTTTTTTCCTTTACAGTTTTGCGAATTTTTTTTTTGTGATGATAACATTTTCTATCTCTCTCTCTCACGACAAAAAAAATCAATATTCAATAATTATATACGTTGTGTAATGACGTCATCGTTTTAAAAAAAAATTATTGCTATAAACAATTTAAATAAACGCGGGTGAAAGAAAATGTCGAGAAAATGGATGGATGGGAGAAAAAAGAAGATAAATAATAATTAAACGTAATTATTATTATTATTATTATTTATTTTCTATAGTAGATTTATAGCTAGCTATAATAATATAGACGAACCGATAAAAAAAATTACGTAGGTTTTTTTTAATTTCGAAAACGTTTTAAAAAATGGTGGCGGAGGAGTGGATGGTGAGGGGTAGAAGGGAAAAGAAGAAATTTTTTTTTTGTTTTGCCAAAAAATCGATTTGATATCAATTATGAAAAAAAAAAATATTTATTGGAATCGATCGATATTCGTTTATTAAATGATTTTATCGATTATTTTAAATGGGAAAATTTTTAATATCGAGTGAAAGAGAGAGAGAGAGAGAGAGAGAGAGTGAGAGTGTAGTGAGAGTGAGAGAAAAGAAGAAAAAGAAAATTTATTTTTTTCCTGTTTGTTTTCTTCGCGTGCAAATAATTGATTATATATAAAAAAAAATTTTGAAAAATTATTTTTGATGGCATAAATTTAAAATTTGGCATCAATTTTATTTTTTTGGCACGTCAAAAAAAATTAATCTTTTTAACTTAACAACTTTCATTATTATTATTATTATTATTATTATTATTATTATTATTATTATTATTATTATTATTATTATTATCATTATTTTTGTGTCGAGTTTGTGTGTGTGTGTCTGTTCGTTCTTTTCTAAAAACTTTCATCGATTTTATTAATTTAAGTAAATAAATAAATAAAAAATTTTTTTTTTGTTTTTTCATCTTAACGTCGTCTTTTTTGTTTCCCTTTGTCGACTCCGCCCCCCGCCCCCCGGGCGCCGCCGCCGCCTTTTTAAACTTTTTTTTTTTTTTCGATAAGCCCTTTGACAACGTCAAAAAAGTGACGCTTTGACAACAGCTTTCGCGATGCAAACTTTTAATTTTTTAATTCTTTTTTCCCCTCCTCTCTTTCTCCACCCCCTCTCTTTGTCTCTTTTTTCTTTCTCTTTTCATTCGTTATAAAAAAAAAAAAAAAAAAACGAATAAAAAAAAAAAATTGAAAGAAATTTGACATGATGAAACGACTTCAAAATTTTCGACAACAATAACCAAAAAAAAAAAAATTCTTTTAAACTTATCATCATCATCATCATCATCACCATCATTATTATTATTATTATTACCATCATTACTGGGTACCCATATATTATCGTCGAAATTTTTTTTTTTTTTAATACCCGCACCTGCATCCAACAATTTGTAAATTTAACAATAAAAAAAAAAAAAATTTGGCATTACTTTCATACGTTTCACAATAAATACAACTTTATTATTATCATTATTATTATTTTGTTAATAACGTTAAATTATAGCGAATGAAATTACTATATTTTTATAGATGTCATCGTTTGTTTCGATTTAATTAAAAAAAAAAAAAAAATTTGAAGAAAGTAGTCAAAAATGGTAAAATAAAATAATATTTTTTACGATGACAATAAATATATAAAAAAAGGAAAAAGTGAGAAAAGGGGGGAAGGGGAGGAGGGAGAGAGGGAGGGAAAAGAAAAACAAACGGCAACAAAAAAAAATTTATAGCAGACGAAAAAGAAAAAAATAATAATGATTACAATCGTAGGGGAACGGGAGAGAAAGAAAGAAAAAAAAAAAAAGAGAAAGTATATATATGTGTATCTTTGTCTTACCCGTGTGTACTGGATCCGTTGTAAATTTCGAAGCTGCTGGAATCATAATAACTCCAGCAGAAAGCTGTAATCCGTGACACAATATGTGAACCATAACGGAACACGTAACGATAACGTATCCCCAATTATTTTCCGGATAGTAGTGTCTCGTTAAAGTCGTCACTTTTCTTTTATCTAAATTTAAATTTCTTAACGCGCTGTTTTCTTTATCTTCCGGTGAATTATCATCATTATTATTATCATTTCCGTCTTTGAGTTGAATAACCGGAGTCGGAAGTGAAAACTTTTTAAACGTTCCACGAAGTTTTTCATCTGTTTTTTCGTGTCCCAAACTATAACTCCTTATAAACCTGTAAGAACTACGTCTTCCCGTATTATAATTATTATCGCTACGATAGTAACGTCTCGCGATTCCTCCCGACGTCGACGTCACGCATTTCTCATCGAATTCCGTTATTTTCGTATCGTTTGACGCGATCGATTCTCCACAATCCGACGCCGCTTTTGATTTTTTATCGATTTTTTTATTTTTAAAAAAAAAACGATTTTTTTCTCCCGTTCCGCGACGGTCAACGTCGTCGTGACGAATTTTCCTCTGTGACCTTTTGTTATTTTTTTTACGTAGCAAATCAATTTGGTAGGCCGTTAAAAAATGTTTTTCCCTTTCCGATTCACTCCGGACGACATTTTTCTTATCATCGTACCTCTTATCAGGTTTATCAAATTTATAATTTGATTTTTTACGTATAATTTCTTTTCCGCGACATATTTTACATTTGCGATTGTAATAAGAATTCGTATTTTCAACGTCCACAATAACTCTTATGTTTTTATTATTATTATTATTATGGTTGGACGCGTTCGAACTTTCCAAAAAGGCCCCGATATCATTTTTTTTATTAAAGGCACAATCATCGTTGATCCGAGACGGAATTATTTTACGATTCGTACATTCTACGGACGGTACCGACACAATATATCCGCCATCTTTTTCCTCATCATCCGATACGGAATCTAAAACTTGATAATGATCCACGAATGTTATTTGTTTGGATTCGTCACATCCGTGAGAATTCGAAATCGAATCTTGGCGGGGTTCTAGTGTTACGAATATATCCGGTTTTATAAAAACCGGAACTCGTTCGTCGGTTTCAATAACTATATCCGGTTTTCCTACGGCGCACGATTCGTTTTCGTTTCTCCTCGTGATGATCGCATTATTATTATTATTATTATTATATTTTTCAAATGACGGATGTACTTTTGCATATATGATCCCTCTTGGATCTAACGTTATAACTGATTGTATGGGCCAACTTCTGCTCCTATTTAACATATTAAACGTTAGTTTTGCTATTTTTTATGTTTTTTAGCGATTAACCGACGAAAAAATCATCATCATTATTATTATTATTATCATTATTATTTACACACGCGGCACGATTTTTTTTTCTTTTTTCTAGATTTCATTATCCGGTATTAACGTTTTTACCTGAAAGCAAAAAAAAAAAAAAATTATACGATATCAACGGTAATTATTGTCATTATCACCTTCTACCCCACACTTTTTTACACGTGTTTTTTACACGCGTGACTTTTCCATTATCGAAAATACTTTTTTCTCTTTCTTACAAGGAAAAGTTTAAACGAAAACACACACACACAGAGTGGATGAATATGTTTAATTAAATTGAAATTATTACTATTTCCAAATTATTTACATACGTCGGAACCATTTTGTTTAACTTTTTTATTTTTTTATTTTCGGTTTCCGTTCGTTCGAGTTTTTCGAGTTCGAGATTTTTTTTTTCTTTGAATTTAAGATATTCGATTAATAAAATATTACCAAGCGTTATTGTGAAAAGTTTTTAAATTTCGAAATTTTTCCGTTAGTTTTAAGGGAGTTTTAAAGTATTTATTTAAATTTTACGAAAAGAAAAATTCGTGATGATGCCGACGCTACGGATTTTACCCGCCACTTCCGCCGACTCTTCGCGAGATTCATTAAAGGCTAAAAAATGCGAAAGAAAAAAAAATAAAAAAAGTTTTCCGTTAATTTTTCGTTTACCTTTTCCGAATTATCACTTTTTCTCCTCTCTCTCTCTCCCCCCCCTTTTACTTCACCCATCTCTCTCTCTCTCTCTTTCATATTTTAAAATTTAAATCACCGCACGAATATAATATTTTTTTTTTTAGAAAAAAGGAAAAATTTTTGCTGAAAAACTTTATAATTCCAAACGTTGAATTTGAAAATTTTTTATTTTTTTTTATTTCTTTCTCTCTCTCTCTTTCTCTCTTTTTCTTTATTTTCTTATCTCTCTTTTTTCATGCACAAAAAATACATAAAAGTGAAACGAAAAAAAAAAAAAAAATTTCAGGTTAATTTTAGAAAATTTTTGTTATTTGTTGTTGTACCCTTTCCAAATGTGATTTTTCATTGACGCTTAATTAATTAATCCCCCAAGTTAAATGACCAAAAAAAAAAATAATAATAATAATAATAAAACCTTTTTGTTAAGGTTTATAAAATGATAATGATGATGATGATAATAATACTAACACGAAATTATTCGAATGAACCGGTTTTCAAAGGGTAATAAAAAAAAAAAGAAAAAAAATTACACAAGTTAATCACTTTAAAAAATCCTTTTTTTAGCATGGAAAATTAACGGTTTCGAAAATAAAATTCACGTGATGACCTTTGAACTCTTTCTCTCCCTCTCTCTCTCTCTCTCTTTATTTATATTCGTTTATTTGCAAAAAATGTTTTAAAATAACTGTAAACATTTCTTTTTTTTTGATTTTACATTTGTTTGACTTTTAACTTCTTGTTTTATTTTATTTTATTTATTTACTTTTGTTTTTTGGAATCATTAAAAAAGAAAAATGAGGAAAATGGAGAATAAAAAACAAAAAGAAAAAAAAAATTTTTCAGGAAAATTTAAAAAAAAATATTTATACATATTTTCAAAATAATTAAAATAAAAATTTCCTTTTGACTCTTATCATCATTATTATTATTATGTAAATTTAATGGAGTAAATTTTCGTCCGCCATCGACGTTGGAAAAGACGGGAAAAAAAGGAAAATTTTTTAAACTCGAATTATTAAACAATGACGTCATTTTATCATTTTATTTTACTTTTTTTTGGAGAAAAATAAAAAAGAAAATTTCCAGCGTTTTAAAAATTATAATTGATGGGGGGAGGAGAGGAAATGGGAAAAAATTTAATCCGTCATAATAATAATAATAATAATTGGAAATTTACGCGGAAAAAGAAAAAAATGAAAATTTTTTTTTTAAACTGGAGAAAACTGGAATGAAAAGAAAACTTTTCAATTTTTTTAAAATTTATTTACGGGCGTTTAAAAAAAAAAATCATCCTACGTATAAATTATTTATTTTTCTAAAAAGGAAAAAATTTGATTTTATTTTTTTATTTTTTTCTAGTTCCACGATAAAAATTTTTTCCAGCAAAAAAAAAATAGTATTATTGATGTACTATTAGATAACTTATATATATTTAAATTTTCATTTTTATTTATTTTTTTTGTCGTTTTGTAAAAAAGTAATATTTTTATTTTGTTATTATTATCATCATCTCGTCATCTAAATTTAGGTACGAATCGAAAAAGAGGAGGAGGAGGAAAAATTTTGCAAATATTTTTAAATCGGTACATATTATCGATAAAAATGAAGTGAGGGTGAAAAGAGTGGAGGGAGGAGGGAAAAAAAATAAAAATTTTAAATCGCAATCTGGAAAGTAAATAAAAAAAAAAAACGGGGATAGCAAACTTCGTAAAAAAAAAAAAAAAAAACTAAATAATTTAATAAAGATTACGTAATAAAAACGTTTATGATTTCGAATTATTATTATTATTATTATTTTTATTATTATTATTATTATTATTTTTATTATTATTATTATTATTATTATTATTATTATTATTATTTTTTTTTTTTTTTTTTTTTTTATAGAAACGAACAGTAACGGTGATGCAATAATATTAACGTTAATAAATAAACAATCTGGAAAAATCTGGAGAAAAAAAAAGTGATCGAGATGAGAGCATAAACTTTTTTACGAAGTTGAAAAAAAAAAAAGAAAAAAACGTTCGAAAGAATTATTAAACAAAATGGCCGACGTTTTTTTTTTATTATTTAACATAAAAAATAATAATAATAATAAAAATTGGAAGCAAATGTTGAATGATTCTATTTCGAAAAATGGCGCGTTTTGAAATTAAAAAAAAAAAAAAAAAAAAATTTCAATCGTGAGAAAAAATATTGAAAGATTTCCCCTCCTCTCTTCTCCTCTTCCTCCCATTTCCCTCCTTTTCCCTCCCCTCTCTTTTCTCTCCTCGCCCCCTCTTTCTTTCTCTCTTTCTCGTGGAAAATTTTGAAATTTTAATTCGGAATAATTTCTCGATAATAAAAAAAAATAATATGTAAAATATGTTTTTTGTTTTTATTAATTTTTTTTCGGTTGTCGCGATTGATTGATTGATTGAATGGATTGAATGAATGAATGAATGGATTGAATGATTGATTAAATGAATGAATGATGTTTTGATGAAAAATTACACGTGAATGAGAGGGAAAGACTTTTATAGCGAAATATAAAATCTTTATAAAAAGGCAATTATAATGATTTCTTTTTTTATTTTTATTAATTTAACGTATTTGCATGTGCGTAGGTATGCGTGAGTGTTGGTGCTCGTACCGGAAACGAAAATGAAATTAAAACCTTTGTAAAAATAAACACACACGCAAATTTCTATAATTACATTTAATTCATTTATAAAAAGAGGTTTTCCCAAAATTTGAAGAAAAAGATTTTTCTTTTTTTGAAAATATTTGAAAACGCGAACGAGTGGGGGGAAGAAGGCGTGTAGCAGGAAGGGGGGATGGGGGGACGGAAATAAAATAAAAATAAATTTAATTAGTTTTTTTTTTCTGTTAACAAAAAAAAAAAGCAACGGAAAATTTATTTTTTCAAGCGTGAGAAAAAATTTTTTTTTTTTTTTTTTTTTTTTAAGTCAGAATCAAAAAATCGTTTGAAAGGAAAAAAAATAATATAGGTTAAGGGAAAAAGTATGTAGAAGGGAGGGTACGGTAGAAAAAAGAAATGGTGAAAGGGGATGAAAAGTAAATAGGAAACGAGGAAAAAAAGAATCAGAAGGAATAAAAGAGGAAAAAAAGGCACAAATGAATTTGTTTTTTTTTATTTTAACTTTCAAATAAAAATTTTTTCTTTTTTTTCCTACACTTTTCTTTTCTTTTTTTTTTTTTTTGTCTTTTGCCACGATAAAACCTTAAAAAGAAAAAAATGAAAGAAAAAATTTTTTTTTCTTTTCGTTACGTTTTAAATCTGATTTTTTTTTTGACAAATATCAAATTTTTTTTGTTGTAAGACAAGGGAGAAAAAAAAATATATTTTTTAAAATAATTATTTTTTATCTCTATCTCTCTCTATCTTTTTTTTCCTCTTTTATTTTCCCTCTCCCTCTCTCTCTGTCTCTCTCTTCCTAAATCTCTTTCGTTTCACCTTTTTTTCATTTTCTAATCCGAATACAAATAATAAATTTCAATAAAAAAAAAGGGAAAAGGTGACAACAATAATAATTATCATGATAATCGGCGAAATCATAGATAAAATAAAAAGCAGAAGAAATTTTATTTTATTTTTTTTATTAATAAATCATTCATCAAAACCCTTTTTGCGACATAAATCAAACGAATAAATTTTTATTAAAAAAAAAAAAAATGTAAATAATTCAACGTCGTCGGGTTATAATAAATAATTTTCAAAATCGCAAATCATTTTTTCATTACAAATTTTTTCCCCCCCTTCTCCCCCATTTTCACTCCCCTTTTCCCACCCCTTCGGACCTCCCTTGTACACATGACATTTTACAATTTCAACGACGTGACGATTTCCGTTCTCCTGCGGAAAAATTCAACGCAACAGGATTTTGTTAATTTTTTTTATGTATTTTTAACTTTTTCCCATTACAAAAAAAAAATTAAAAACGTCACGAAAAGTTTGTACCCGTTGTTTGTTTGTTTGTTCGCTTGTTTGTTTTTGTTTGTTTTTGTTATTAAACTTTCGTAAATATTATCATCATCATCATAATCGGCGTTGTCGTTACACGAATCATAACAAAACGTCACCGCGTTAATTTTTAACTCTCGCTAACTAAAAACTCTTACAACTTTGTGCGTGCGTGCGTGTGTGCGAGTGTGTGTCAAGGTCAAGTGGGGGTCAAGGTAGGGTCAAGGTCACTCAAAAAGTTCGAAACTCGAATGGCAAAAAAAAAAAATTACTTTTTTTTTCTGTTTAATTATTATTTTTACGGCAAACGCGCGTTTTATTACCTTATAAAATAATAATAATAATAATAATAATAATAATAATAATAATAATAATAATAATAATAATAATAGTAATAATAATGATAATAATAATAATAATAATAAACGTTATAGTTTTGCCAAAACAATTTATTATACCTGCCAAAAAAAAAAAATTACAACATTTTTGACGTGACGTCATTTGTTTATAGTTAGTGAGTAGTGTTTATAGGTGTGGGTGGTAATTGTTTAAAGTACTCGAACGAGTATCCACAGTACAAATTTTACTTTTTTTTTTTTTTTTAATATCGTTTTAGCTTAATTTGAAAAAAAAAAAAAATTTCAACCGGAAATAAATAATAATAATAATAATTTCTTAAAACTTCTTTTTATATTAAAAAAAAAAATTTTTTTTATTTATTTTTTTAGTTTTTTTTTTTTTTTTTTTTAAGGAAACCGATCGCCATTTTGTTTTTCTTTTATGTAACTTCTTGACAGATTTCTTTTTTTCTTTTTCCTCCTTCATCTTTTCTCTCTTTCATTTTTTTTCTTTTTTTCCTTTCGATTTGTTGATGTTGTTGTTGTTGTTTTTGACTTTTTACGATTTTTCCTAATAAATTAAATTCTCGATTTTTTTTCTTTTTTTTCTCTCCCCCTGCCCCCCCACCGTCTGTCTCACTCACTCTCTCTCTCTCTCTCTCTCTCTCTCTCACTTTTTTTTGATGAATGATCTCTCACGATCGGCAAAACTTTTTTTTTTTTTTTTTTTTGTTCCTGTCGTGTATATTTTAACAACAGAAATTTTTCTTTTAAATCCATTAATTATTAATAAATTTTTATTTTTTTTAATTAAAATGACTCGTTTCCTTTTCCGGTTGTTTCTTTTTTTATTCGCGTATTTGTTTCATATCGTAATTTATTACTTTAAATTACTCGGTAATATTTTTTTCCTCCAGACGAATTACCACTACCGTTTTTTCTCCAGACCGTTAAAATTGATTTTTCCAAAAAAAAAAAAAAAAAAAAGGAATTCGAAATAATAGTTCGCTGTTCCTTTTTGTAATTATTACCGTAATCATTATTAATGACGAATAATAATAATAATATTAAAGTAAACAGTACATTAATTTTTGTTTTCGTTTAGCAAAAAATTTTTTCGAATAAAAGATTACGATGCGTGAAAATTATGAATCGTTAGAATGATAATAATCACGTTAACGTGAAAAAATAGAGTTTTAAAAAAATTATTCCAGCTCCAGCAGAATCTTTTTATTATTATTATTATTATTAATTTCACAAAAAAAAAATTTTCATTCAATTAATAATTATCACGATTCGTTTTTTTTTCCTCCCACTAAAAAAATTAATTCAAATTCAAAGCGAATATTATTATTATTATTATTATTTTTAAAAAAAATTATTTTTCTTTTAAAATTTTTCGTGCGTGTCTTTAGAAAATAATAATAAAAAAAATTTCCCGCCAAAAAAAAAGAAAATATTTAAAAAGAATAAAAAAAAACGAGAAATCGTTGGTTCGTTGGTTCGTTCGTTCGGTTCTTGAATGAAAATGAACGATGAGTGTGAGAGAGAGAGAGTGAGTGAGAGGGAAACGGGCGTTAATTTTTTTTTTTTATTTATTTCTTATCATTGACAGGAAAATATTTTTTCCTGTTGTGTTTCTGTAAAATGTTTTGTAACAACAGCAATCGAATAAAAAAAACAGGAAAACACGGTAGTATCGGAAAATTATTTTAACATCACCACTTACCGATATATAAATTTTTTTTTTTTTCCTTTAAACAATTTGTCGAATTGTTTATCAATTTGTTTGTTTGTTTATCTGTTTGTTTTGTTTGTTTGTTTCTGACTCGATCGTAATATATTTCTTGAATTATATAAGTTCACTCGATATAAAAAAAAAAATATTAAATTATTTTTTTAAACGTAACAACTCGCGAATTTTTACCGTCAAAATTTTTTTTTTTTTATTACGTCGATTTATTCACGTTCCCGCTCCCCCGCCTCCCACCCCTCCCCCTCCCTTCGTAAATTGTAAAAACAAAACGTAAATTCTCGAAACATTTAAAAAAAAAAAAACACAATCCGCCAAATTTTTGTTTGTAATTTTTTTTTTATTCGTAACGATTGATAAAAAAATTTAAAAAAACTTTACAAATTAAAAAACCGAAAACATAAAAAAACACAACAAAAACAACAACAACAACCACAACAACAAAACAAAAACATAAAATTAAACTTGTCCGTATTAAATGTCGATCACAACTGTCAGATTTCTTTTTTTTTTCTCTCTCTCTCTTTCTCTCTCGTTACTTATTCTTTGGAAAACTCACGTGGAAATATTTGAACTTCATTGCGCAACTCTTCAAACTCATTTTAAACAAAACTATTTGCACGGGTGGAAGATGTGGGGGGGAGTGGAGCGGGGGAAAACGGTTTTTTTAAAATTTACGACCGGTAATATTTATAAGAACAAAACCGGTAAACAAATCGTTTACGAGGGGAAAAAAAAACCGGCAACAAAAAATGAATTTTTTTTTTTTTTTTAACGTGCGAAGAAGAAAAAAATTTTTTGCTTACGTCATCATCGTCATCATCACACATTCTACTGGAGAATTTTTTTCGCAATAGAAATTTCTAGTAACCGCCGCCGCGGGCGTTCATCCAACGTACGAAAAAAAAAAAAAAAAAACGTGATTAGGTTTTATTTTATTCTTGAATAACTTTAACAACCACGAATCCATCTTTACGAACTTGAAGGTTTGGACGTGCGTGACTTAATTATTAATTTTAATGTTTCTTTTTTTTCCTTTTAAAAAAATGTATTTCCCTATTGTAAAAACTCGTGAAATCAATTTCTTCTTATGATTATTTTTTTAAAACCTTTTCTTTTTTCAATGCATTGAATTTTTTTTCGTATCGTTTTCGTACCAATCGAAATTGATGTTGTCTGTCGACGATTGTTCTGATAATTTGTCGACGGTGCTGTTTCTTTTTCTAACGGGTTTTTTAGAACCGTGAAATTTTGCGACAAATTTTAATTCTTGCATTAGTTCTGTAGCAAACGAAACCTGAACGGGGAAAAAAAAATAATAAATGATCGAATGGTCTAGAAAAGGAAGTTGAATGTATTGTTGTGTTTCACCTTTTCTTTTTTTGCCGTCATGCTGACGTTCCATATAAGTTCTGCTATTGTAACAAAACAAGCCATGAAAACCCCGCAAACTAAAACGACGAAAACACCTCCGACATTATCCAAATCTAATTCGCTTGCTTCTCCACCGCCTTCGTCATCCTGAAGAAACAATCGCGGAAAATCATTTCCATTTGTTTAGTTTTTTTTTTTTTTTTTTGTAAGTAAAACTGTACACTTTACCTCGCATGCTCCGCCACCTCTTTTTTCTTTCCACCATTTTCTTTTCATTTGAGCGAGTCTTCCGGTTTCTTGTAATTGTAGTACGGCCGTGCTCAATGCATTTCTATACGTGGAATCTATGACGTTGTAGAAAAAGAAAATAATAATAATACAATTAAATGCCGAATCGTGAGGAGTTTTCTAAAGAAAAAAAAAATTACTTTTTCGCATTGCTATGCCGTATCCTTTGCTATCCAACAATCCACCGATTTGCGTTATGTCGCAATTTCTTTCAGCCAAATATTCAATTGATGTGGATTCCATGAGATACGCATAATTTTCATTTAAAACTCTTTGAAGTCCTTCGTTGTTGGATGATGTAAAAACGTCAGGATTCGATTGCATGTATTTCCACATTTTCTTATACGTTGCGTAATTCGAATCCTTAAAAAATTTATTTATTTATTTATCGGAGCGTTTTAAAAAACGAACGAGAGATTAGGGGTTCGTACCTGAAAAAACGATGCCGTCGATCCTCCTTTTTTAGCACCGTATTTAATTACTTTTTGATTAGCAAGTTCTTCGACGTTTCTAAAAGGTGAAGTTGTTGATTCGATAGTTAAAAAAGCAGCCAAATTAGCCGTGTAAGAAGATACCATGATGAGGGTAAAAAACCACCAAATTCCTGCGACCATTCTCGTCGACACTGAACTATTGAAAAAAAAATTTTTGGTAAAAAAAAAAAAAAAATTTCTTTCTGACGTATGGGAACTTACATGGGAGCAACATCCGAACCCTGTTGCATCAAAGACCCGATGGTAAACCATAAAGAATTTTTTAAACTGAATTGATTTTCTAATTCGTCGGGTTCTTCGATGCACGGATAAGGATTGTTCCATTCGTAAGGACTCAATCTCGCCATTGCGAAAAAAGTGAGTGACACTCCTAAATAAGCAGCCAACATGTACATCCAAACTTCGTTTGAAAAAGGTGATAAAAATGAAAATAAACTCGGAGGTTGTGCCGTAGGTTTTTTATATAAAATTGTTATTCCCAAAGTCATAAACGGCATCGTAAAATCAACAGCTCCTTCTCTATCGTGTGTGATTGTCAAATCTGTTATTGCAAGATCAGCTCTCTAAAAAAAAAATTTCAAAATATCTTATTCCGCTCGAAATGGAAGAAGCGAAAATCCCACCACAACTTGCACCTCTTCCATAATTTCTTTCATCATTCCGCTCCATTTTTTAGTTTTTTTATTAAGGGATCCATTATCATTATCGTATTGTACAGTAAAAGTGTAATTAAAACCCAACATCAAAGACAATTCGTGTATCAAATCCACTCCGAAACCTTCGAAACGATCATTTCCAGATAATTGCCTGCTATCTTCTTTCAACATGGCGTAGGGCGGACTCATAGCTATTATAACGATAAAAGTCTTATTGACAAGAGAATCTTCGTCAACTTCTTTCGAAAATGATGAATAAGATCTGGTCAAGTTAAGTCCTTGAGTCGTGTTCCAAACGCCCACTTGAGTCAAACCGTTTGTTGTTAATTCGTTTAAATGTAAAGTAAAATCCATTCTAAGACCTTCTTCTCTGTGAATTTTTACCAGGCCCGTCATTCCTTTGATTTCGGTCTAAAAACAAACGATTTTCATTTCTTATTCCTAATATAATCGCGTTGCAATATAAGAAAACCATAGAGAAAATTATATGCGTAATGAAACTCACGTGCTTCATATAATTATTTAAAGAACTACCGAGAACCCAAGTATTTTTCGAATTACAATCTTGAGGAATCATGGTTATATTTTGAGCGTAATGTAATTCTCTCGTTGCTTTAGCAAAAAGCCAAACTGCATCATTCATCAAAGCAGCATCCAAACGTACGGTAGATGGTGTCACTTGTAAAACTCTTTCGTTTTTCGCTTCTCTTCCCGTCCATGCTTTAACCGTATCTATAACTAATGGATTTTGCGGATCTATCATGCTGAAACCGGTTATGTTCGTGCCGCCATATTGAAGAAATTCCAAATCAATCGTGTGTAAATCCTGAAACGATACTTTTGTCAATAACCTCCCCTCCTCAAACAAAAATTTTTGTTTACTTTACCAAATTTGTTATGATGAAACTATATTCTGCAACCATGAGACCGACTTGCTGTGCTTGTTTCAATACTTCCGGTAAAACGTCGATGGGACAATCTAATATAATATTATTCGAACCGGAATTTTTAATTTCTCTAAGGGTGTCACGATAATTTTCACCATCAATCAATTGTTTAACGCTTATTATGTATTCTTTCGAATCTGAGAGTTTGAGGAGTTCGCTAAATTGTATGAGTTCCAATTCAGACTGAAATGGTGAATCACGTGATTAGAAAATTTATTAAAACTAGAGTAGAGAGAGAGAGACAAAGGAAGACAAAACGTTATGCGTTTGTCGTTACATCACTGTCAACGTGATTTAATATTTTTTTTTATTGCTTACTTACTTACTTGATACACAATTGTAAAAATTTTCCATTTCCACGCTTTTACAATATCGACCAAAGCTCGTGACAGTGACGAAGGATGCGGATAAATGTTTAAAGATCTCAATTTATTTTTCTGATACGGATTCCATTTAATTTCGACTTGTGGAATTTCTTTGGCGTCGCAAATAGATTGAACGTGTACGGATGTTTCCGGTGAATTCGGTCCGAATATTCCTGCCACGCCGATCGAAAGAAGATCGCAAACAATTTGAGATACTTGAAAACTATTGTGTTCGGGTACTTTTCTAGGTTCGGCGACTAACCTTTTACTTAAAACTCCTCTGCTACTGTGTTCGACGGCATTTATAAATGCTAATTCTTGTACGTTGTCTCTAACGTGAAACAAACCACCTAACAAAAAAAATTTTTAAACACCGTCGCCATATTGTTTTTTTTTCTAAATTCTATTTGTTTAAATAAAAATAAATAAATAAACATACCCAAACGTATAGTTCTGTCGGTGACTGCGAAAGATGATAAATACAACAGTAAAAATAAAATTCGCGGCATCCTTATTATCATCATTATCATCAATTTAAAATTAATTAAAATTCAAAGTTCGGAATAAGAAAAAACACAAAACAAAATTCGCAACATTTTAATACATTTTTAAACGTCACAAATTGAAAAAAAAAACAACCGACCACGAACCATAAAAAAAAAATTTTGTAACGAATTTTTAAAACCGACGTACAAAACGAACTAAATGTTTTTTAAAAAAAAAAGAAATAATAATAATAATTTAATTTAAAATTAAATTTTTTTTTTTTTTCGAAATTATTTTGCTGTTGTGTGCGGTGTGTGTGTGTGTGTTTATTTTTAGATTTGTCGAAATTAAAAATCTTGGCATAAAAACATTTTTTTTTTTAAATTTATTACGTTTGGCTCTTTTAACAAACAACAACAACAACAACACAGTAGAAGGAATTTTGCCATAAAATCGATCAATTTCACTTTATTAAAAATTCGTAACATTTGATCTTTTTTTTTTTAATTTTAAACAAAACAAATAAATAAAATTTATTTTTTAAAACATCTGGACAGATGAAAAAGAAGAAGAAGAAGAAGAAGCAGAAGACAAAAAAAATAAATAAATAATCGATTTTAATTAATTAATAATTAATAATTAATCATAAAACTCGAATCAATTCAAAATTTTCCGTATTTAAATTCATTTTTATTTTTATTAAATGAATCATTTTTTTCATATGCGAAACGTGAGTAAGTGAATCTTTTTATATTACGATTATTAACACAAATAAATAAAAATTCGAATTTTTTTTTTTTTGTTGTTTTTTTTTCTTCCGATTTTTTTTTTTTTTTGTTTTTCTTCAAAGTTTTTTAGGTAATAATTACGGGTAATAAAACGTAATATTTATCAATGAATGACAATTAATTACGGTAATTTTTTACACGTTAATTATTTCGGGAAAAAATTAAAACTTTCTTAAAAAAAAAAAACTTTCCCATATTTATTATCGGTAATTTTTTTTTTATTACTCACCTGACCTGTAAATTTTATTACGTAATAAGTCGATCGAAAAACATGTAATAATAATAACTGAATGAATGAATGAATTTAAACGTAAAAAAAAAAAAATTAATAAATAAATTGAGAAAGAAAAAAAAAAGAAAAAAAAATTTTTTTTATTGATTAAAATTAAGTACAAAAAATTATTATTATTATTATTAATTACATAATATTTATATTTATATTGAAAACATTCCGTTTATTAATCATACATATTATTATTATTATTATTATTATTATTATTAATACTTAAAACGACATAATAAATAAATAAGTGAATGAATGAATGGATTTTTATCGAATATTTTCAAGTGAAACCATTTTGCGAATACGACGACATTTTAACTATCGTCGACTCCTTTTGTTGTTGTCTCGATGACGTAGACGAACCTTTGTTGTTGTTTTTGTTGTTTCCTTTGATTTTTTTACCATTTCGTATTTTATAAGATGACTGAAAAACAAAATTATTATTATTATTATTGTTAAGGCGGAGAATTATTATTACTCCGAAGGCGGAGTTATTAAAATAATTTTAAAAAAAATTAAATATAATTAATGATAATTGTAAAAAAAAAAAAAAAGATTCGTTTGTTTGATTGATTGATTGATCGATCGATTGTTGTTGTTGTTACCCACGGTGTTTTTTTTTTTTTTTTTTGATTGTTCAAAAGGCGTGAAATTGTTCATTTATTTAATCTTTAAGACATTTTAGAGCGAAAAAAAAAAAAAATTGAGAAAACGAAAATTGAGAACGAAAATTAAAAAAAAAAGAATTTTTTAACCGGAAACGGTGATTTTCGATTTATTTCTGTCGAAATTGTTGAGTAATAAATTTTTTTTTTTGTAAGTTGTCGTTCGTACAAAAACAGGATGTGACGAATCAAGTTGTAGAGTAATAAAACACGTAATTAAAATTTTTTATATAATTATTAAATTAATTTTTTTTTTTTTGAAATGGGGTTTTTTTTAAATTATTACGTAATATATAATAAAAAGTAATTTTTTTTTTAATGATTTAAATTCTCATGCGTGTGTCAACTCCGTGTTAGAGTTCATTATCATTATTATTATTATTTTTTTTTTTTTTTTCTTTTTTTTTCTTATTATTATTAAGGAAAAAATGACGTAAGAAAGTCAAAAAAAAATGTTTTTGACCCCGAAATTTAATGAAATAATTTTTTTTTTCAAAAAAATTACGGTTGTTACGATAAAAATGATGATGATGATGATGATGATAATGATGATGATAATGATGATGATCTCACTCGACTAATTTTGGTAAAATTTCGAGTATTGTTCATGCTTAGCAAAATTGCAAAAAAAAAAAAAAAATTAATATTATTTTTTTTTTTTGTTGATTATGTTTTGTTGTTGCGAAGCGGATGAACATCGGTGTTTGTTTGTTTGATTAAGTTTTCATTTACTAGCCTTTCTCGCTAGACATTCCGCCGAGAGACTTGGGCTAAGTGTCTTGCAGAATCTTGCTCACCCTTTCCTCGACGGCAACTTTCCTGGATTTCCAAACGAATTCGCAAACTGCTATGACGCAAGCAACACCCATTCCGCCCATTAAAACGACAAAAACACCGCCGACGTTTGCCAAACCCAATTCGTTAGCGGCACTACTAGATTTCGATGTGTCGTCCTGTTCGTTTAAAAAAAAAAAAAGGTGAAAAGGTTATTTAAAATTTTCAAAATATTCCAAAAATGATTGTTTGGAAAAAAAAAAAATTAAAATGATCTACTCACACGTCTACTCACCCTGCAGGAACCTCCTTCTCTTTTTTCTTTCCACCATCTTGTTTTTAATATGTGTAATTTTCCTTCTTCTTGAAGTTTAAGTATGGCACCACTTATTGCCGTCCTGTACGGAGAATCTAAAAATTTATAAAGTTTAAAAAGTATACGTCGACGCCATATTGAAAAAAAAATTTTTTTTTGTCTTATTACTTACTCGGCGGCATTGCAATTCCATAACCTTTAGAATCTAACAAACCCCCGACTTGTGTCAATTCGCAATTTGTTTCAATAACGTATTCGATGGATGTTGATTCCATAAGAAAAGCATAACTTCCTTTTCCTTTCAAAACTCTATCAACCCCTTCTTTATTCGATGACGTAAAAACGGTAGATTTTGCAGAATCCATAAAGGACCACATTCTTTGATACGTTGAAAAATTTGAATCCTAATTAAACGTAATAATTATGTCAATCAAAAACGAAAGAGTATAAAAAAATCGATAAATCAATAATAAATCGATATTAACCCTGAAAAATGATGCCGTCGAACCGCCTCTCAGCGCGCCATATTTTATTTTAGTTTGTTTAGCTAAATCTTCGGCGCTTTCGATCGGCGAATCCATTCTTTCAACTGTAAGAAAAGCGGCTAAATTCGCAGTATACGATGAGATCATGATGAGCGTGAAAAACCACCACATTCCGGCAACCATTCTCGTGGAAACGGCTCTAAAAGAAAAAAAAATGGCAAAAAAAAATTAATGGAAGCAGAAAGTTTTGCGTGCAATTTTTAACTTTATTTTACAACGCAAAGGATTTAAAAGCGGTTTGAAAAAAACCCTTCCCCCCACTTCTCGGACGGATTAAAAAGGAAAAAAAACTTACTTGGGTGTTATATCGGAACCTTGCTGCATTAGTGATCCGACAGTGAACCACAAAGAATTCATAAGACTGAATTGATTTTCTAAAACGTCGGGTTCTTCGTTACAAGGATGCGGATTATCCCATTCGTATGGGCTGAACCTGTATTGTAAAAAGCATGCAATCAAGTAGATAAAAAATTTATTAAAATGTACATACTTGGGAAGGACGTTGCAACTTTGACGCATGAGAGAACCGAAGACAAACCATAAAGAGTTGTTGATTGTAAACCAATTTTCCAATTTTTTCAAATGATGAGGGTTGCAGGGATGAGGATTGTGCCACTCGTAAGGACTTAACCTGCAACCCCCCCAAAAAATCAATAAAAGTTTTTTTTTATTAATAATATCGAACAAAAAATTAACAAAAAAACAAAAACCGTCGTCCATTATCATTATTATTTACCCAAAAAATTTTATATGTTAATTCATCGCAGAAAAAGAAGAAGAAGAACAAAAGGAAAAGAAGAAAATTTATTAATATTACCTAGCGAGTATAAATAAAAGTACGGAAACTCCGAGATAAGCTGTTGCCATATAAATCCAAACGTCTAATGATAACGGTGATAAGAAGGAAAATAAATTCGGCGGTTGTTTTATCGGTTTCCGGTAAAGTATGCTTATTCCGAGATTCATAAACGGCATCGTAAAATCAACGGCTTGTTCTCTATCGTATGTTATCGTTAAATCCGCAATTGCCAAATCGGCTTTTTGATCGAGTAATTCTTTCATCATTCCATCCCATTCTTTTGTTTCCCTATTAAAGGATCCGTACCTTCCATCAGGTACGAGTTTGAATGTGTAATTAAAACCTAATATTTTAGATATTTCGTAAATTAAATCCACGCTGTAACCTTCGAATTGATCGTTTCCGGTTAGTCTTTCGCTTGAATTTTTTCTCATGCAATACGGAGAACTCTGAAACGGAAAAAAAAATTTTTTTTTCTTTTTTTTTTTATGGATTAACGCAAAAGGATTTTTTTAATTGTAGCAAATCGTACCAAAATGGTGGTGACGAGAAATGTTTTATTATGTAAACTTTCGACGATTTGCGTGTAAACTTCTCCGTATGTTCTCGTTAAATTAACACCTTCCGTCGAATTCCAGGTTCCTATTTTTCTCAAACCTTCTCTTCCCAATTCTATAATATCTAATGAAAAACTCGAACGGAAGCCTTGATTGTCAAATTTAATAACTCCCGTTAATCCTTGCATTTCTACCTGGATTTAAAAATATTATTATTATTATTATTATTTGGGTTTTTAAAATAAAATAACGAAATCGGCGCGTGTGTTGGTACGTAAAAATATTTATAAGAGTGACCTTTTTTCCTTCCTCTTTCCCCTCCCCACTCCCCTCTTCCGTTTCCGTTTACGAAATAAATTACGTCCGCAAGGTTGGAAAAAAAAAAAGAAAGGAAGGAAGGAAGGAAGGAAAAAGTTTTTTGTGTTGTGCAAAAAAAGTTTCGGATCCGACGATTGGAAAACTTTTTTTTTTGTATTTTTTTATTTTTTTTTTGCTGTTGCTGTAATTTAATTAATCGTTTAAAAAAAAAAGGAAAAAATTCTTTTTTAAAGTTTATTTTATGCGGTTGGTAATACTGTTAAATAATTTCACCGTAACGCAATTAAATTTGGAAAAAAAAAAAAAGTGGCGACACGAATGAAAGAAAGCAAAAAAAACTTTTTTTTTATTACCACCGCGTTAAATCTTTCTACGATTTCGTTCTGTGATAATTTTTTTTTACATAGTTAAAAAAAAAATTTAATTTTTCCCAAGTTGGCAACAAAACCGGTTAATTTTCAAATTTGCTAAAAAAAAAAAATTTTTTTTTTTTGTAAATAGACGCTTGAGAAAAGTTTATAATTAAAACGATTTTGTGCATGTAATCACGGTTGAGAGTAGTAGTTGACAAAGAAAAGTTTTTAATTGTAGCAAATTTTTTTAATACTCCAAAAACTTTTTTAATAGCAAAGGATAGCAAAACGGGTTTTATTTTTAAGAAAAAAAAACGTATGTAAAAACCTCGAGAAAACAAACGAGCAAACGAACAAACACTTACGATTTTCATGTAATTAATAAGGGAGTAACCATGTGGCCACGTGTCGACAGCATCACAACTCAAAGGTTTTATATCTATCCTTTGAGATGAATCTAAATCGTGAAGTGCTTTTGCAAAAAGATGAACGGCATCGTACATAAGTGAAGTTTCCGTCTGAAAATAATAAAAAGAACAAAAAATAAAATAATGATGATGATAATAATAGGAAAAACAAAAAAAGGAAAAGGAAAAAAGGAAAAAAATTATTACACTCGAAACGAAACCTTTCCAAGTTAAAAGGACAAAAAAAAAAGGGAAAAACCATTTTTGTGGCTTTTTTTTCCTCCTTTTTTCTTTTTTAAAATGAATCCAATGATGTAAAATCACCGACAAAACAAAGCATTTTTCCTTTTTTTTTCCTTTTTTCCTTGGAGCTAATTTTTTTTTTGCTTTAATTTAAATATTATTAAATTTTTAACTTACCTTTATTAAAGTCAAATTATTCTATTCGAACCATCGGGAAAAAAATTTTTTTTATTATTCGTCAGGCAGGATGAGAAGCACCAACAGCACGCCAACAGTGTCAGCAGAAGCGTACCGAAAAAAAATAAAAATAAAAATGAAAATGAGGGGAGTGAGGGGGGTAAAAAAAAAAAAACAAATTATTTTTTTTTTTTTTCGCTTTTATTCTTTAATTACTATTCATATATCAATTTTGCTATTGTTTATTTTTTTAAAAATCCGCAAAACGACTTTTACTTATTATCATTATTATTATTTAAAACGACTTTTTATATTATTATTATTATCATCTGTCACCGACATTAATGAAATTTATTTTTATTTTTTTTGCATCTGAATAATTATTAAGAAATGGATTTTTCTCTCTCTTCCTTTCTCTATTTTTTTATAGAAAAAATATTTTTGCTACGGTACAAAAAATAAAAATAAAAAAATAAGCAAAAAAAAAAAAGCTTAAATCGTTGTAGCAAAAAAAGGAGATTTTTTTGTTAAATGAAGATATATGTTAGATTTTTTTGCGTATGAAAACAATAAAATTGCTACCCGAAAGGGTAAAAAAAAAAAAAAAAAAAAAAAAAATGACACGAGAATTCAAGCGTTAAATTTATTACGTCGAAAGAAAAAAAAATTTTTTTTTTTTTTATTTTTTTTATGTACCGCAGCAAATAAATAACTATTTAGAAAGGTAAAGAGCACTCCGGAGAAATGTATCGTGAAAGGGATTTTTTTTTGTTTTATATTCACCTTGTTCGACGTGGTTCCAGAAGATGAAGATTCCAATTTCCTTCCGTATCGTGATTCGTTATTTGCCCAATCGTTAACGACTTTTTGTAATTCCGGCCTTTCCGGATCGACGAGTCTAAAAGCCGTTATATTCGTGCCGCCATATTTAAATTCATCCAATTCTATTGTGTGTAAATCTAATGACGTCACAAGATAACTATGATAATCGCTCATCATTCCTATTTGTTGTGCTTGTTTTAATACGTGATAAATTTTTTCTATCGAACAGTCTAATACGATATGAGATTCTGCTGAATTTTTAATTTGTTTTAAAAGAGGCCTGGAAAAAAAAAACAATTCGAATATTAAATTTTTTTTTTTTTTGGAAATTTAAACCGTTTCGAAATTCGGAATAAGATGGGGAGGGAAAGGGGAGGGAAAAGAGGGGGGAAAGGGAAAATTATAATAACAACAACATTAAATTTTTGTGATGCATTATATTTAAAAAAATTCGCTTATTTTTTCATTTTTATAACTTTTTGTATATAATCTTAACGTGACTTTACATTTTTTTGTTTTCTTTTGAATTTTACCCTCGCCCTCCACGCTGCCCCCTCCTCCCGAAAAAAAAATGAAATTAAAAAAAATAACTTTTACGCGACGCCAAAAAAAAAAAAAATGTCAAAAAAGACAATAAAATGAAATTTAAAAAAAAAATATATATATATAAAAAGAAAATTCGATAAAAATGAAAAAAAGGAAAAAAGAAAAAAGTAAAAGGAAAATATAGAAACGACATAAAGTGGAATCGACGTGGTTATTATTATTATTATTTTTTGAAATTTTCTTTTCCGCGTAAAAAAAAAAAAAAAAATTGATTTATAGGATGTTTTGTACATTTTTTTTTTTTTTTTGGTAAAAAACGATTTTCTTATTATTATTATTATTATTATTATTATCACATCTCTCATGGAAAAATACATGATTGAATTGAAAAAAAATATTCGAATGATAACACGATTATAGTAGAAGGGGAAGGGGAGGTGAGAGAGAGAGAGAGAGGGGGGGGAGGGTAGGGATAAATAAAAAGAGTTTTGACCTTTTTTAAAAATGACAAAAAAAAAAAAAAATAAGGATTTAGCTAAAAGCAAAGTTCTTGTCCGAGGTCAGAAGCATTAACCTTTTTTTTTTTTACAACGTCATCAAACAGACTTAAAAATCCTTTTAAACCTTTTCTTAAGTTTCCTTTTTTTTTAAAAAAAAAAAAAAAGGAAAAATTTATTTTAAATTAAATTACGTAATTAAAAACATTTTTTTTTTTTATACCTTTCCATTAATAAATCTTATTAACACTTTTCCTAACCGTAAAAGGTAAAAAAAAACAAAAACTTTATTCTGATTGGTTGACACTTTTCTTATATTGACCAATGAGAGATTTTCTTTTTTACGTAATTAATTTTAATTGGATTAAATTTTTCTTAAATGTTTTCCGATATATATTCTTATAAATGCGATGTTGTTATGCTCATTATAAATTAAAAAAAACGCTATAAAATTTTTATAGTCGAAATTAATTAACTATATTCGACTATAAAAATATAAAAAAATTTTTTTTTCTCTCTATCTTCCACATCCGCCGGAAACGAAATAATAATAATAATAATAAGATAATAAAAATCGAAGAGAAATAAAAAATAAATAATTTTTTTTTTTCCAAAACATTTTATAGTTGTTTTTGTTTTGTTTTTTTTTTTTTTTCGTTTTTTTATGTTGGTAAAATATTTTTATAGTTTATTTAATACTAGTGGATAATATAGCGCTATAATGTGTGGTAAATAGTAAAAAAGCAAAAAAAAAAAAATTTTTTTGCGTTTTGAAAAAAAAAATTTTAATTAAATTTTTTTTATGAGATGATGTTGATTATTATTATTATTATTATTATTATTATTATTATTATTATTATTATTATTATTATTATTCTTTCGAATGTTTTTTTTTTTGACGTTGTCCAGCCTGCCTCGGTACATTTAATAAATTGAGAGTTATGAAAATATTAATGATAATAATGATAAGTATTAAAAATAATCGAGAACGATTAAAAATTTCGTAGATTTTATATGGTATATAAATTAACCGGAAGCCATGACGGGAAAATTGTTCCCAATAGTCTCCAAGGCAACCCAATGGATTATTTTGTTGAAATTAAAAAAAAAAAAAAATTTTCTAGAAAATTTTATTAAAAAAAAAAAAAAGAAAACTCTTTTCAAAGAATTTGGGTTTTCCAATTTCTCAAAAAAAAAAAAAATTTATTAATTATTTTAGCGACAACGTGAATAAGTTACTAAAATCATTTTATAGCGGAAAATTTTAACGTAATTTAATTATAAGCTCGCTATTACTATCGTAAAGTTTTCATAACAAAAGCGTTTTACTACATTTTATGAAAACTAAGAGGAGGTGGGGAGGGGAGGAGAATTGAGTGGAATCCGGAGGAGAAGAGAGAGAGGGGAAGGGAGTATAAAAAAAAAAAAACTAAAAATTTTATTTTATTTTAGTGTGTGCGTATACATTGACAAAGGAAAAAAATTATCATTATTATCAAAGCGCGCGCACGGGCTTTTTTCTTAATAATAATAATGATAATTCTTTTTTTTTTGACTACTTCCGTTTCCGTTTACCAATATTTTTTAATGTTTCTTTTCATTTCGACGATAGATTTTTTTTTTTTTCGAGTAAATTTTCTTTTCTTATAATAAACTTTATCATTATTATTATTTTCTTTTCTTATTAAATTTTTTTTTCAATGATTTGTGTGCGTGTGCGTGCGTGCGTGAGTGCGCGTGTTGTGTTCGTTTCCGTTCCAGTTCTTTAAAAGACTTAATTTTATATCAAATATATAATTTTTTTTTTTTTCACTTGGTTAATCTTTTTTCGCTTCATTTATTTACTACCATATATATTCAGATCGAATTTTTTTTTTACTATTAATATATATTTCTAGAAATTTTTATTTATATTAAAATTTTTTTTTTTCATTTTGTTATTAATAAATAAATAAATAGAGGAACGTTTCGTATGATGTTAACAAAAAAATAATAATAATAATAATAATAGTAATTTTGTATTTATTATTAGAAATGAATATATTAAATGATCACAACGGTGGAAAAAAGAAAAAAAAATTATTATTTATCCTCCAATGATTTTTAACAATAATAATAATAATAATGATGATGATGAGAAGGATGATGATGAAGATGATGATGAAGATGATGATGATGATGATATCAGTTTGAAAATAATTTGATGAATATTAATAATAAATTTTTTTTCTTAAAAATAAAAAATATTTAAGATAATAATAAAATTCGTGTTTACGAAAATAAATTGTTGTGAGATAACGTCAACAAACAAACAAACAAAAATATTTCTTACGAAATATATTAATATAAACGTTAATAAATTTATTAATAAATAATATTACGTATGTAAATAAAAACTTTATTTATTTATTTATAAATAAATTAAAGTAAAAAATTTTTCAACTTATTAATTAATTAATAATTTTTTTTTTATTAAGAGTTGATTAACAACCGAATAATTAATGTTTGTTTGTTAATTAATTTCTCTTAAATTATTAATTTATTTATATATATATAAATTAAACGACTTGAATGAATGTTTATGACAGTGACAAAATAATAATAATAATAATAATAATAATTTTCTACTGTTGTAATTAAATTTAACGGGAAAATAAATGGTATTATCCGATTAAAAAAAAATTAAAAATTAATATCGCGTGTTGTTGAATAATTACGCGTTTACACGCACGCACGCACAAACAAACAAACGAACAAACAAACGTATAAATCACGTTTATAATTTATTTATACGTTTGTTACGTTTGAAAATCTCTATTACGATATATATGACCGATAAAAGGGATAAAGGATTAAAAATATAAACATTAACTTAGAAACTTTCAGGGAATAAATTTCCCTGAAATAAACTAATAATAATAATGATAATAGTAAAAAAAAATAACCTAATCATATATTTAAGATTTAAAAAAAAACGTGTCATTAGAAAATTTGAATCTCGTTGATATCGTTGACGAAAGTTTTTTTGTTTTGTTTTACATTAAAACTCCGATTAGTTAATTGACTTATCGCGTAAATAAGCTTAACGTAAAGTTTTAAAGCTTTTTATAAAAAATTGTTTTTCAAAACTTTTGACTCTTGTTTTTCTCTCTTTTAGATTTCCGGTCTCGATTTTTTTTCCTTAATGAAAATTTATAAATTTTATGTAAATTTCATCTTCCTTCCTTCTCCTTTCTTCTTTCTTTCCCCCCCCCCCCGCGTTCGATCTGAAACGTCGATATTAGTCATTTATCCGTGGTGTGATAATAATGATGGTGATAAAGACGAAAAAAAAAAA